ATAAAAGACAATCACAACTTCCATTTCATGCTGAATTGTCCAGTAGCACCTCATTGCAGTACACAAGATGCAGGGGGCGGAGTCGGATCCAGATCTGAGGGGTGGAGTTGGGTAGGTTTAGGGGTGGGTTTAGGGATCAGGGGGTGGAGCTGGATAGGTTTAGGTATATGTAAGGTGGGAGGTATCCCCGCGGATTTCATGTTCTGCAGTGGGCACCATCTCGAATTGTCCGTATTATATCATGTGATGTATACTGATTTTTTTTTCCAAACAAAATTAATTGATTGTGAAATCTGTCAAAATGCAGCCTTGAAATATTTTAACTGTGAATTATTTCACAATTTAATTTAAAAATTAAATTAAATATAAAAAATTATATAGGCTATATATATATATATATATATATGTGTGTGTGTGTGTGTGTGTGTGTGTCTGTGTGTGTGTGTGTGTGTTATTCGTATATACCCTATATCAAAAACGGCCAATAATTTCCCCAAATTCCGGCACTGACCGTGTTAAAGCCTCTTGCGCTCCGGGAACGGCGGCATCCTCGACATGAAGAGTCCCGCTCAGATCCACCAGAACTGCTTTCAGTGTGCGGAGAGACACTTACACACACACACACACACACACACACACAGTTCATCTTCAAGCATCACTTAGGATCGTGTAAAGCACAAAAAAGATCTAATTTTGTTTTAATAGCTTTTTGGCTGGGCTATATTACAAAAATAAATAAATAAAAAGAGGATAAACGTGACTGGCGTTTAGATTCTGGATTTTTGTGGATCATGTTGTCAGTTTTCGAGTGTGCAATTAATGCTCTTATTCACCATGAACTCTGGATTAAACACAATGAATAGCCAGCATAACAACTCTTCATCTCTTCATCTGTGTTTGCTGTTTGACATCATTTTTTTAAGATTTGGAAACCCTACATTTATTTAAAACGAGCTGCCAAACAACAAGGGCTTTGGATAAGGTAAAGCAGATTGCCTCAAATCATTTAATAACCATTCAGTAATTCCACGAACTAAGAACATGTAACGTTAAATAGAGTAGGCTAATCTTGTGTGTTTGGGTTTTTAATATTGATTATAACATGAAAACCCGAGTCTAGACTACAAAAACATGACATGCTATTAACATTCGTTTCCAAATAATTGACATATTTTTATTTTAAAATAATAAAAAAGGATGAAACGATGAATGTTAAAGCATAAAACACATTTGACCAATACAAGTTATGAAGAACTACACTTACTTCCTACTGGGGTCCTTCTCTGGCGTAGGCTTACATTTTGCTGTCCTAAAAATGCCTGTCGAAAATACGCAATTAATTATTTTATCTTATCTTATCTTATCTATATATATACATCAACATATATCTTTTTACATTTAATGTATAGATTTTTTTTATAAGAGCACACTGGATTTTCGCCACCACTGCAATTTGTAATCATTTAAGAGGGTTTTCTATGTAAGATTATTCACTCAGTGAATAATAATAAAAAAAAAACATATGCTGGATATTTTAATAACAGATTAAATAGCATTTAGAGCATTAATTCATATCCTCCTGGGACCCAGGTCGTGGACATAATATTTTGGTGAATTTATCTGATAGCATACATGTCACACTTTTAGTCTATGTCTGTAGAGCATATTTTAGGACTTTTCTGAGAAACCTGTTAGTAGGTTTTATCATGGCAACTCCCCCTCCTTAGCTTTTAAAAATGATTGACATTAATCAAATGTAGCACTCTTGTGATAATATGATCACATTTTATAAGTATGCCTATCATTTAGATTGTCATAAATCAACATCTCAGGAAAATGTTATGGGGTTTCAAATTAAATGACTTTCTGTTGCAAAACAGGGCATTGATTTCATACATGTCCACTGAGACACCAAGACTTACAGCATGTTTATCAGGCATTTTGGGTTGCAAATTATTATTATTTTTTCATTACATGTTGCCCCAAGAACACCATGTGAAATACAGATACATTGTTTTGAATAGGAAAACACAAATGGTAAATGCAAAATGGTATATCAATTCATTCTGTTATATTTTTCATAGTTGAGAATCATCTTTTTTTTAAAGTTTGGTTTAAAAAAATCCTGAAACCTAAAAATTTATTGGTGAATGATTGAAAATTATATTGTTTTTGCCTATTCTGATATTTAAGTATATATATATATATATATATATATATATATATATATATATATATATATATAAACATGTTTTTATTTATATTATATATGAATATTTGTATATATTAAAAAGTATAATTTTATATATATATATATATATATATATATATATATATATATAAACATGTTTTTATTCATATTTTCATGTTTTTATTCATGTTTTTATTCAACAACATTTTATTCATATGGTGTCCTCTGAAGTGCTCTCTTACACTTTTTTTATAATTTTAATTTAATATGTTCATGGCACTATTTTACATTAAAATCAAATAGAATTTGTGATTAAAATAAAAAAAAAAACAAGAAAGAACACAAGAAATAAAATAAAAATAAAATAAAATATGCACTTAACATCCTGACAGATCACCATTTATTTGAGGTAATGGGGAACATAACTTTTCTGCCCAAATTCACTTTTTTTTTTTTTTTGTATGCCGAGATAAATCCTGGGATTGGAGAAGTATAAAGTCACATCATCTTCGGTAATAACCATTAAGCATAGATTATAAAGGGTTAGGCTTTAATCGCTGTTCTGAGCATATGGTTGTAATTCAGCGTTTTATCCGTGGTCTGGGCTACTGTTAATAAAAAGGTACTGTAATCCTGATGGACTAATCTAGTGTTGTTAATGGACTCCATATGGTTCTCATCACTGAACCGGATGGACTCAATTTACCCCCTCAAACAACACACATTACGATTTCAAAGATTGTTCATTATTAATATCCTCGTTTATATGCTGGTTATGGTTATATAGTACAATCCTAACGATATGAATAGAAAAAAGAATGAAAAAAATCCATTCACTCCATTGGCTGTACAGCCGCAGAGAAGTATGCAGGTTTCTGTTCGAGCCGATCGGAATTTGAACAAGATGCGCCAATTACTCAAAACCTTAGAAGAACATTTCATGTGTTGCTAGTCTTGCATTGATGTGAACTCAAATGTGACTTAGCTCAGGGATCAGGTAGCACAAAGGGGAGGGGTGTGTGTGTGTGTGTGTGTGTGTGTGGAGGGGCGGGATGAGTTTTTTAAAACTTCCCTATTACCGTCTCAGGCTTTCTCGACCGATTTTGAACATTGTATACCATAGCTTTGAAGGTCTTTTCACACCAATAACGAGAACTATATTAGCGTCCACAGTCGACACCAAGGCCAGCGCTGGAGTTTTATCGCCTGTCCCTTTAAATGCACGAGCTCGTTAAAGGATGATGATTCTGATTGACTGTCAATTGGCTTTATGTACAGCTGCACTACTTCCTGAACTTAAGGCCCAGTTTACACGAGAACGCTCACGAGTGAAAACGTAAAAATATTTTTATTGGGTGTGCCTTTCGTTTACATGGCGACAGCGTTTTTGGGGCTTAAAAACGCAAAAAAGTGAAACCACCCTCCAGAGCGGAAATCTTTGGCCACGTTTACACAAAGCCGGGTATTTAGCAAAACGAATATTTTCCCCCTCTCCGTTTTCAAAAATAACATCGTTCACACACCCGCATAAATACACCGTCGAGCGCCTTCATAACTATGCCAAACCTATTGGCAGCAGTGTAGGGGTTAAGGATAAAGCCATGCAAGCCAATCAGAATCCTCAGAATCGACAAGAGAGAACCTAAAACCAGAGCCCATCCAACGGAAAGCCTTGGCACTTCCTATTAGCCCCATTGTGCATCACCTTGGTTGCAGTTCCATTAGAATTCCACTGGAGGTGATCGCGGGCGAGTGCAGAATGAATGGGAGTCTATGGGGCTAAACGGCTAAATGTGTCTCTTTCACCTGCTTGTCATTAAATCAAAATAGATTTTATTGTTGATTCCGCAAGTTCAATATAGATTATAGGCCAAAAGTCGAATGAACGAGTACTTATGTCCCTTCGATTTCTTACAGGTTAGGCTGTTGTTGGCCGGAACACGCTAGCTTTCTGCCATTGTGCGAAGTCATCACATTTTTGAACGGATTTTTAGAACAGATAAGTGAACTTAAAAATGCAATTTTCAGCTGAGTGTATTTTCTTAGCCCTCCCTTTTGAATGCAACTTTCAAATTACTTGACAAAAAATTACATCCTGAGAAAAGTGGATTTCTGAGGTTGAAACCCCATTGACTCCCATTCATTCTGCGCTCGACCGCGAGCGCCCCCGCGTGGACAGAGACGCGTTACTGCAGCCAGTCCAGAACCCGGAAGTAACCAGCCAGTGCCAATTCTCTTCAATTAGACATCCTCTGAGTGATACTACATTGAATTTCACAGACTTTTGCGTCACCATCTGCACGCGGATTTCACACCCAAAATGCTCGTCTAAACGCAGAATAAAAAGTGATAACGCAACTTTTGCGTTTTCCGTGTAAACATAGCCTAAGCCGGCTCCTTGTTTTCTGTCTGCCATTATTGGACAAATTGATTAATCCAGGTGTGCCTGACCTCAGTAGCCACAGCAACAATAATCAGACACACCTGAATTTGTCCAATAAAGGCAGACAGGAAACAAGGAGCTGGCTTAATTTCAGGAAGTAGTGCAGCTGTGCATAAAGCCAATTTATTATCGTTCTGAACTTCTGATCCCAAGGACATCGAGCCTCTATAGTTGTGGTGTGAACTCTGCTATTGTTTTATACTTAGAAGAACGATTGTCATATCTATATTGGTCTAGTTATCGTCTATGGTTTTAACCATTTGAACTAATAAATGAGAAAATGCTGACTCTTCGTGGATAAAAAATTAACACGGGTAAGTTATAGTGCACTTTGTACAAACAAAAAAAATGACAAACTCTCCCACATACATTGACAGATGAAACACAATCATTTTATTAAAATCCAAAAATAATAATTGTTAAATGACTGGCTAATGAAGATAGAAGCTCCCTTGGTCAAACGTTTCAATCCCTTCAGACCAAGTGTGTTGTGTCTTAAAACCTGATCTCTTAACTATACTACGATTTCAGCACATCTTTATTAAAACTCAGAGACTTTAAATATATTAAACCCCACTTTTACTTTCCAAGCCCTCTTTGAAACCAAGACTCAAGAAGATTAGCTTTGAGAAAAAGAAAATCATTTCAGGTGTCAAAAGACAGTATGGCTTTCACAAACCCGTCTGGCTGATTCAACAGTTGCTTGTTCTAAAAAATACATTGATACTTGAGGAACTGACACTTTACTAGACCTTGAATGTGACAAAAACAGCATGTACAGAGAAACAGGACTTTCTGTAAAGTTACAAAACTCGAAAAAAGAAAAATGTTTACTGGTATGCGTCATATAAAACGACCAGACTACTTACAGTAATTCATTCAGGATACAATTTTCAGACATTGGAGGGCAACATTTACAACCACAGATACAAAAACAGTCCATTTTCCTTTGCCACATTCACCATGTTCCATATTAGATCTTGATCCACCGCAGTCCAGCCTTTCTTCATCCAAACAGTAATAGTAAGACGATACACACTGAATTTACTGCTATCAGAGGTACTGTGGAACAGGAAGAGAAAACACATTAATACTGAAGTCTGGAACATGTGCAGAAGACATTACATAAAGACAAACATGATTAAAGTCTCTATGAAATCAAAATCTTGTTTCTTTATGGAATGTTTCAGGTTAAATTTTTTGTTTGTTTGTTTTTATAAATTGTTTGTCCGACTGTTTTTACTGCACTTTATTTTATTTTTTATTCTAAACTGTTTTAATTATTTTTGTTTAGATTATTTTAAAGCATAAATATGTGTAAATATGTAAAGCACTTTGAATTACCATCGTGTATGAATAAATAAACTTGACTTGCCTAAATGATTTACTCTATAATTGGATTATTCTATTATTTATTTAATTTATCGATGTGCCTGATAATCTTTAATTCAAATAACATCCCCTCCCTCTTGCAGTGACATCTCTTCTCTCATCTGATGACGCGTTTAGAGGAGAACGTCACACACGATCATGTTCAAGTCTCAAGTGAGTCTCCAGTCGCCGTGCACTAAAACCAAGTAAGTCAAGTCCTGCTAGAGATCAATTTAGGTCACAGTGAGCTGCGCTACCCAGACCGCTTATCAGCAATAATAGACAGCACAGCTCAGAACAGGTTTACTCAATCACGCGACACCATTACTACACAGCGTTGGAAGATCCAGTGAGAAAGCGTTTCTGCAGTATTTATAACATGGCTGCAAGATCTAATGAGAAACATTCAAATTCAGAGCAGAATTTTCTGTTAAAACCATATTCGATCAAACAGCGATGTAGCGGAAACCAGGAGAAACATTGTGCCATGAACGAACAAGTAATAGAAGGCTGGCATATATACTCCCTAATTTATTTTGGATTTTTTTTACTCAGTAATAGTTTATTTTCACACGGGTTGCTTTTGTAATGATTCTTGATAGACACTCCGTAATCTGGAGATGGGAACGTAGTGTAACGTAGAGTCAGTACTGACTCTTCAAGTGAACATACCTCTCATGACAGTCCTGACGGAACGAATAAGGTTCAGAAGTTGTGCTTTAATCCCGGGGTCATCTCCAAATCCTCCAATACTTTGCTCTGCCCCCCAACCAACTGGAAAAAAAAAAATAATAATTTATATTAAACATAATGTTTCTCCAACTAGCTCCCAAATTGCTACTAACATTTCCAATGTATGTGTTTTCCGTACGATTGAGGAAGAAACATTTGCTTTGGGAGAATCTCTCTTTTTTTTATAAACAATTGATTTTAAATGTTTGCTGAAAGATAACTATGCTGTTGAAATTATTGATAATTTAGGCCTATTTGTTTTGCATTGTAGATTCTTTATTCACATTTCTAAACACTTTGCCTAGATTTGAAGTCTTTCACGTGGAAATGTCCCATACTGTAAAATCTCTTAAACAAAGATTTTACAATCTTTACTAAGATTTTCTCCTGTTTTTCGTTTCCTTCTATTCAAAATTCAGTGCTGTACTCGACTTTGCAATAACCAAGACAATCTATTTGATTCAATATCGAATTGATTCGAAATGTGTCAATGTCCAGCCTTAATGGCATTCACTAGTACCTTCAATTTTTTTTTAGAATAATATTAAAGTATGAAATAACACAAATGGGGATTGTGTAGTGCTCGGAACACGTTAAATAGCCATTTAGTTTCGTCAAAATACCAGCTACAAAAAAGCTACAGATTTCATGAGGTGCTGGTCCATTTCAAAACTTATTTATTTCTAATAAGTTAAATATCCATTAAGCGATTCTTGTAAGTTAACTTATAAGTTACACATTTGCAATATATAACACCAGTGAACTGATTTTGTTAAAACAACCAGCAATTCTTTCTGTACAGATTGCATGTCATTCAGGTGAAGAAAACACTAAAGTACAGGGTAACGTTAATTCATGTTAACATTTTCATATTTCTATAGTCAACTGAACATTTAGGAGACGTAAGTTAAACTCCAAGCTAGCAAACCATGGTCTGCAGATAGCAATACACACACAACTATTTACATGACAGACCAAACCTATTGTCATATTTCAGAATGAAACCCATTCAAAAGAACTTACTTTTACTGAGAAACCTCTCTTCGTGCAGAACGGCGATGGCATTAGTGAATAATATCGCTGTTTGAATCAACGCGTACAGTGTGAACGCCATGTTGGCACTGTTGTGCTGACGTAGGAGGACTTGCGTCGCGCAGGATTGCGTCACAAACGCGCCGCTACAAGATTTGATTGACACACAAACATACACTGCTCTAACTTTATGCTACTACTTTAACTTAAATAGTAAATAGTGTGCTGTTCTGAATTTAGCATGTAACTTACTGTGTGCGCCAAGCTATCGCCTCACGTGCTCACTGTATATGGCTGAAACGTATTTTTGATGCATTATAGAATTTTATTTATATCTTATTTTCTGACATCAACATATTATTTTATTATAGCAAACGTTTATAACACTATTATAATATGCAGGAGAGAATACAACCAATAAATGGCCTGCATTATTTGATAATATTTGATAATACATTTAATAACTAAATAATAATTTGACACATCTTATTCGTAACAAGTTATGTAGGTTTAATTCCAAGAAAACACACACACACACACACACACACACACATTATTTATTTAGTTCTAAATTGTATAATAATATTGTAATAAGTTTGTGAATATTCTGATAAAAAAAAAAACAATGGTCAGTCTTTATCATCTTATAGACTTTAATTATCCACATAAATAGTAGAGAAACTACAAGAACATATTTAAATACATTTGCATGAACAGTTAACAATAACATTTTTTAAACTGGTGTTTATGTCAGTGTTGTATTTAAACAGGCAAAACGAGAAAGGTTTGCAGACGTTCAAATCGCTCTCAGACTTCAGCCACAGTACAGAGCAACCGTTCCCTTCACATTAACCTCCGCATATGTACATTTACAGCCTAGAGCTAAGAGAACTGTACAGTGCATGGGGAATAAATAAACTTAAGTTCATAAATAATCAAAGTGGGGTTACTGTACAAGAAATATGTCAAAGGAACTCTAGATCATTGGTAGATGCATGACAGTGTGTCCGTTCACTGATGGCGTTTGGTTTCATCGGAAAGATGGACGTCGCTCAGGTTTATCAATGACAACGTTCAACATCCAGTGAAGAGGTTCCTTTCGTTGTGCTTGATTTGATTTATCCTCAAGAGTGTAAAAAGATGTTGAGAGCAGCTTGATTTTGTTTCAGATGAATTTACCTTAAAAAAAATAACAGTTAAGTTATCATGATAAAGATTTCTGAAAATAATCAAGAAAGTTTAAATGTAAAAATGACAAGCATCCAAAAAGTCAGTGCTATTTGTCATAGGAAATTTACTCAGCTGTGAAATCAGTAATTTATTTTACAGAAAGGCCACACATTATATTTCTCATTCCATCACTATATGGTTTAATAACTTTGATACTTACCATTTAGCTTTTGTTAAGATGCGCCCCGACCTTTTCTTTTCTAATGATGTTTGCATAGGGAATCTACAAATAAACATTATGAAATCAGTTAATACTTGCACATCAGGGAATATATATATATATACATACATACATAAGTAGATCACATGATAAAGAAGTTTGCTTCATAACATGTTTAAATAAAAATGTGTATAATGTAATACACTACACTGTTCAAAGGTTTGAGGTCAGTAAGATTTTTTAATGTTTCTTGGAAGTCTCTTCTGCTCACCAAGGCTGCATTTATGATACAGTAAAACCAATAATATTTAAAATAGCTGTTTTCTATGTGAATATATCCTGTAATTTATTTCTGTGATCAAAGCTGAATTTTCAGCATCATTCCTCCAGTCTTCGGTGTCACATGATCCTTCAGAAATCATTCTGAAATGCTCAATTATTATCAATTATTATTTGCTGCTTAAATTGTTGTGACACATCCTACTGTATGATAATACTGTGATCGCTTTTTTTAGGATTCTTAGATGAATGAAAAATATTAACGTCGGTTAGGTGACGGTTTAGGGGTAGGTTTAGGTTTCAAACCTAATCCTAGATCAGGGTTTCAAATTTCAATTACGAAAGGGTCATGAATAAATATCTGATGAAATCATGGCAAACAAAGAATGAGAGAAGGGTTTCCATCCTGACTTTTAAACACAGTTTTAACAACTGTACCGTAGAGTCCCATTTGTAGCCGTTCCGATGAAAAAAAGTAGGCTAGAGCTGCAAGATTTTGGATAAATTGAAAGTCATGCTTTTTGTTGTTGTTTAAAAGCGAGATCACGATTCTGAACAGACAACTAAACTAATTTACTAGAGGTTCTGACCAATGTTAATTGCTGCAGACAGTCCATTTAAAAATGTTTAATTAATTAGAATGAACTATTTGGCTCGAATGAAATTATTCAATGACTCACTCTTAAATATTTCACTTGTTTCATAACTGGACGAATCAGTGTTTTTGAAGGAACCTCTTGAATTAATGATTCAATGATAAATACATTATTACTGTAACAGTGACTTGTCGCCACCTACTGGTGTAGCAATGTCATTGATACGATCGTTATTTGAAGCGTCGTTACATTCATAAGGTGATTTACTTGCTTCCATAGACATCAGTGTTTATATCTGAACTATGAACTTTTACACCAGTACTTCTGGGATAATCTGAATTATTGTGAGACATAAATAATAATACTGTTTGGTTGAGAAGGAGTTTGTGAAGCTGTTTCATAGCGACAGCACAAACACAGATCTGATGTTCTTCACACACACACACACACACACACAAAAAAACTTACTGACTCCAAAATTTTGAGAGCGATCACTGAAAAGTTCTTTAGGGAACCTAAAATGGCTCTTTAATGTGAAAACCCCCTACAAAACCTTTACTCTAAAAACTGCTGGGTTGTTTTAACCCAATTTTTGGTCAAATATGGACAAACCCAGCCATTGGGTTACATTTTTAAATGACATATTTAACCCAATGTTTGAGTTTGTCCATATTTGACCCACATTTTTTAGAGTGTACAACAGCAAAAGAAAGCAGAGATCTATTAAATGTCATTATAGTGTTCTGCATTCCCGAAGTTCAGCTTTGAATGTGTCATGTTGTGATCTCTCATATATTACACATGATGACAGATTATGAGACACCAGCTGTCTGCTGGTTATCTTACATTTATTCTTTACTTTTAGCAGAGTTGCTTGTGGGATATTCCAGCCCGTTCTCATCCCAAGGCTTCATATACTGACACTTTTGACCTTTCGTCTACATCCAATGCACATGGCACCCTTTAGCGTCAATGAGACACAGATATATATGGGCCAGAAGGCGCCTCCTAGTGGTCTAACCCTAACCCTACCCCAGACCTAAACCTACCCATTAACCGAAGCGTGTTATATTGACGCTAAAGGGTGCCATGTGCATTGGATGAATACACATAGGATGAGAATGCGTTGGATATTCTTATGATACACAAGTCAATTAATCAGGGGAAATTATGACCTAGCAGAAAACTCCTTACCATCTGTAACTGTTGCACCATTTCTTCCCTGTAAGCCAGTTCTCTCTTCATTTGGTCCTGAAAGTTATCTGTAGAATAGCCAAATATGGACAATTCAAATCAAAGGCATGTTATGATCACCTAAGATTTAATTAAAAAAGTGCTATAAAAAAATGAATGGTATCCGGTCTGGGCTTATTTTCAGATCAACCGATCAGACAGAGCATGTTTCCTGATTTTCACAAGCTAAATCATGATGATGAAGTGAGGACACTTACGGAAAACTGGGAACGGAGAGCTGCCTTTCAGAGCGTGAAACTCCTGCTCCAGTCTCCTCCGTAAGTCTATCTGTTCAAGGAGAACCTTCTGGAGCTCCTCTGAAGGACAGATCACACAGTAAATCGACCACATTATCAACCAGATATATGTATTTCAACTTTTTATTACACTCCATTTTTGACAGAAGACTCACCAAGGTTGCATTTATTTGCTCAGAAATACAGTAAAACAGTTTTCTGGATCAGTTTAAAATACTGTTTTCTATTTGAACATATGTAATAAAATGTCATTTATTCATGTGATCGAAGCTAATTTCCAGCATCATTACTGCAGCCTTCAGTATCACATGATCCTTCAGAAATCATTCTATGATGATTTGATGCTCAAGAAACATTTATTATTATTACCATTATCAATGTCGAAAACAGTTGTGCTGCTTCATGTTTTTGTGGAAACCGTGAAATATATATATATATATATATATATATATATATATATATATATATTCTTTCATGAATAAAAAGTTAAAAATAGTCTTATATAAGTCTTATATACTCTCACTTTTTATCAATTTAATGCAATTTAAAAAATCGTATAAATTCTAAAGTCATATTGCGATACCTTTTTCCATGTTCTCGACGTCCTTCTTGAGCGATACGGGAGAGTTTGTGTCTTGACTTTGGTCTGCTGAGCAGAAAAAAAGAGGAATTTTACAAATCTGTGCAGATTTATGACCTATATTGCAAGCATTCATTCATGTCAGTTGTTATAAAGGACTGATACACATCATGCAGTTCCACCAGCAGCCAGTAGATGTCAGTCTCACAACAGGATATTTCAAACAATCATATTTGACTTAACATAATGCTGTTTTCCTGGGGTGAGGAAATGGTATTCATATATCATGAATATGGTATGAAACATCTGTGACGGCATATTTACTGTAAAGACATAATAATATACAATACATTTCTGACTCCACTGAGTAGGCCATTCAAGAAAGTATCTGATTAGTGCAGCTAAATTAAGTCATTAGAAACGTCCTTGCATTGTGCCAATATCCTGAAATAGGTGAAAAGAGCTGATTTCATTAATGTTACTGCGCTATTGAATCAGGAAATTATTCGAAACACTTTTGATTGGAAACCTTAGGAGTCGGTGCGTTCGCAAGGCATGTGTTTTTGTGTCTATATTGCAAATGGCTTGAATGAAGTGATCCAACACATCGGTATAATCTTCCCCTCATTCCACTCTCTCACTCTCTCTCTCTCACTCTTCTCATTTCCCGTCTTGCCTCCTTAAGCCGAACAAGGCGTTCCTCATTTGGAAAGCGGTCTTGTTCTCGCTCTCCTCCTCTCTCTGTCTCATTTGACAAGCAAATTTGCAGACAGTGCCTGAGGAT